CTAATAACTTTTATATTGATTGCAAGTTGAAATAATATTTTGGGTAGCCTGGTTAAATAGCATGTTATTAAGATTAATTTTACTTGTTTCTTTTAACTTTTTATAGTTTTTAAGGTAAAAGAAAATGTAAAATTCCACAAGTGGCTCCTATATGGGGCTCATTTATAATTTTGCCGTACACTACTGTTGAGAGAGATCTCAAGGCAATCAGTTACCAATAAGTCAAGAAAAAAAAAAACAGTAGTGTTTTATGGAAGCTTTTGGCTTATCTGTCTTAGAATGAAAACAAGAACCTTCCAGTTAATCTAGTTTAGTTGTTCCTAAATATGTCTGTGCTTTAGAAACTCCTGGGGTCTTAAATTATAAAATGATAGATTTCCAGGTTTTACCTTGGAGATGCTGGTTTCATAAATCTGGGACGGGGAGTTAAAGATTGTGTATTTTTAATAAGCAGCCCAGAGGTTTCTGATGTGCAGCCAGGTTTGAGAACCCTTGAAATAGAACTTTTTTTACATGTCAATGAGCACTTTCCTGGGGTGACCAGCTGATACTGGCTGAGCAACATATTCCTCCTGGATTTATTTTGTATTGCAGATCCCTAGAGTATTCTGTACTGCTTGCACCTAAGAGACCTTGCAGAATTGGGGCTGGAATCATCACCTCAAGCTGCAGCTGAGCAGGCAGTGGGTGTCCTTATTTGGTGGAAGCTGGATTAGACTCAGCAGCCCCCTCTGCTGCCAAAAATTTTTAGCCCAGCAGAGCCCACCCAGGGGAAGGGAGCAGGAAAGGGAACAAACGCAGAAGACAGTAGCATAATGAGGATGGTGGTGGGGGAACCTGTTTGCAACCTGAAAATAGGCAGAAAAAGACATTGCAGACTTAGACCTTTCGAGCCAGAGCAGCTGTGGAGGTCATTTCCTGGTCTGAACAAATCATTTCGCTTCCTTAGACCTCAGGTCCTTATGTGAATAAGGGGAGGGATAATGACACACTCGGCCCCCCCCCCCCATTGCAACAGTCTAATAGAATAATGGGAATGTTGTTACCAGTGTTTTGATCTAAAGATACACTGCAGGTAGCATTAGAACCTGACTTTGAGCTCTGGCCCCTTAATTGAGGTGTATGACACAATTTCAGCTAACAAAGGACAGATATGTTCCACGGTTTCCACAGGAACTGGAGCAGGGAGAGCTTACAAGGGAGATGAAGTTGGTCTCATGCCTAGATGAATTAAAGCCAGGTAGCTACTCTCTCATTTATAATTCATTCATTCACTTAGTTATTCAGCTTACTTTTATTAAGTATGTCTTACATAACTGAAAATGTGCAAGATGTGGTGACATTAAGTCAAATTAGATGTTCTCATTATGTTTGTGGTTCTTGCTGTGTCTCCTTGAATATTGCCTTTGCCAGAGAGATCCTTAGCTAGCTGCCACGATGCACAAGCACCGGTGACCATTGAAACAATATTAGCTACTGTATAGTGGGAACTAGCGATGTGTCAGGCACATCCCACATACTATTATGTTAAATGATGAGAGCATGGAGGAAGTAGAACTGAGAGATTTAGTAAAATCTCATGCCTTTGCCTTTAAAGTACAGTGCTGTTCTGCCTTGGAAGGTAAAGCCTTTTGGTAAAGGCTTTTGGTAAAGCCATTATGGTGGCTATAAGGCCCTGGGCAAAGTGCATATTTATTTGTGCATGTTCATCAAAGTGTTATTTATAACAGTAAAAACCTAAAATAGCCAAGATATATAAGTCAGTTATAACACATTTTTGAAGAATATTTAATGAACTAGGAAAGTGCCTTTGATAAAATTCTTCTTCATAGTAGGAAAATGTAAATAGGATTGATGTAATTTTATAAAACACCCACATTCATAAATATAGAAAGTACTAAAGCAGTTACAAAAATGTTGTTTTTATTTACTGATAATTTTTATTGTGCTTTGGGAGAATCTTATTTTCTTTGTGTTTTCCACATTTTCTACTTTTTATTTTTATTTTTTTAGGACTGGGAACTGAACTCAGGGTCTTGCACTTACCAGGCAGGTGCTGCGCCGCTGAGCTACATCCCTGGCCCTCTACTTTTTTAAAAATAAATTTTCCCCCTAACATTTTATTATGACAATTTTGGGGGGGGGGATCAGG